TTTCCAAGTGGCGTATTCTTCTGAAGTAAATACTTTTAGCTTTTCATTCCCTTTTATAGAGCAACTCTAATTCTGTGCAATTCATGAGCCTAGAAAGGATGGGTCATTTCTCATTGATTTAATTTCTGTGACAAGTCAGATTTATGCAGAAAAAAATATTCTTTTTTTTGAGTGCAGATGTCATCTCTGAGCAGCTGACACAAAAACTGTTTTTATTCACAAAGGAGATGAGGCAAGGGAAAATGAAGAATACAGCATAAACCCAGTACTGAACATTTAAAATGCACATTTATAAACAGTGGATTGATAGTGAAAACTTTGTGCAGAAAATACCTTTACCTTTATTTATTTATTTATTTATTTATTTATTGAGACGGAGTCTTGCTCTGTCGCCCAGGCTGGAGTACAGTGATGTGATCTCGGCTCACTGCAACCTCCGTCCCTCAGGTTCAGGATTCTCCTGCCTCAGCCTCCCAAGTAGCTGCGATTACAGGTGTGCGCCACCATGCCCCAGCTAACTTTTGGATTTTTAGTAGAGACGGGGTTTCACCATGTTGGCCAGGCTGGTCTCAAGCTCCTGACCTAAAGTGATCTGCCCACCTTGGCCTCCCAAAGTGCTAGGATTACAGGCGTGAGCCACCATGCCTGGCCTTTACATTTAATTTAAACATCTTGCTTGTGTTTGCAAACTTCCTTTTGAAATCTGAGTCTCACCAGTCATTTTAAAAATGACAATCTTGATTTATGTGTAGTAACGGTAGTTATCCTTGGAATAAACCACCAAGTCTTAGTTGTAAAGCACTACCAAAAATCATCAATTCTTGCTTTGGGAGTAGGGTACATTTTTGCTAACAGTTCAGATGTCAAGATTCAGTGCTTTAGTAACAGGCCACATACCCTGTCATACAATTGCGTAGTTTCTTTGTTCCTAAGGTTTGATTTCCCAAAGATTTAATATCTTTCATGAAAACTCTTAACCTACATATTCTTATTTTGTTGCTCATCTGCAATTTAAACATTATATTGCATAGTTGGTACGTTAAACAAGTATTTCTTTAAAAACTTTTTTTTTGTCTGATATTATTCCTTTAAAGTTATCTAATAGGGCTAATCCTCGTGCTCCTGGGAGTTTCAAATGCAAGGCAATCTCAAATCCTTCCGAGCCACTTTTAGTTCCTATGAACTTCTTTTTTTTTTTTTTTTTTTTTTGCTACTCATTTTTTGAGATGGAGTCTCACTCTGTCACCCAGGCTGGAGTGCAGTGGCACAATTTCAGCTCACAGCAACCTCTGTCTCCTGGGTTCAAGCAATTCTCCTGCTTCCGCCCTCTGAGTAGCTGGGACTACAGGCACGTGCCACCACAGCTGGCTAATCTTTGTATTTTTAGTAAAGACAGGGTTTTGCTATGTTGATCAGGCTAGTCCCAAACTCCTAACCTCAGGTGATCCACCTGCCTCAGCCTCCCAAAGTACTGGGATTACAGGTATGAGCCACTGTGCCCAGCCAAGTTTCTACGACCTTCTATGGCCACTCTGCTGCAAAATACAATCTTGATTCAGTAATATATAACAACTTCCAGTCCTTGTAGTAAACAATAGTTTGATCCTCATTCAAAAATAAGACCCCACATACAAACACCCCCTTCTCCATCCCTCATACCAAGAACTACTACAAGTGGCAGACCTAAAGCCAGAAAGGGAAGTATGGGCAGCTTCTCTCTTTTTTGCTCCCTTCTCCCCCATTTCACGAACTTCTGTGTTCTTTTCTTGTCTTTTTCTTTTTTTCTGAGATGGAGTCTCTCTCTGTAGCCCAGTCTGGAGTGCAGTGGCGTGATCTTGGCTCACTGCAACCTCCGCCTCCTGGGTACAAGTGATTCTTCTGCCTCAGCCTCCCAAATAGCTGGGCTTACAGGCAACCACCACCATGCCCTGTTAATTTTTGCATTTTTAGTAGAGACAGGCTTTCACCATGTTGGCCAGGCTGGTCTCAAACTCCTGACCTCAAGTGATCCACCCACCTCAGCCTCCCAAAATACTGCGATTAGAGGCCTGAGCCACCATGCCTGGCCTAACTTCTGCTCCTGATTCCTTCCTTTCCTGATCCTGAAGTGCCCTAAGCTGATTCCACATTGGCTTTGTCTTGTCTGTGCCCTACAGGTGCATAATGGGAACCATGGCATGCCCTCTGCCCTGACACATTGTAGGCCTGTAGGCTGCTCAAGGCAGCCTTCCTCTGGCCCATCAGCAAACAGCCAGCTTGCTCCTCACTCTTTAGGTTTCTCAGTTAGGAAGCAGACAGCAAACCCCTATGTTCTGTTAACTATAGGAGGCATAGCCAGCTTTCCAAGTGGATCCATTTAATCTCCCTTGCTAAACTTGAGGGGAAAAAGGCACCCAGGGTTAGGGGTGGAGGTAGGCATCTCACAGACATTAACAGCCCTCTCCAAAGTCCTCTTGCTGGATCTTCTCCCACCTGACTCTTGTGCCTGTGATGAAGGTGAAAGGTTGAAATAATCTAAGCTGTCCTGAAGCAACCTGCTTTGAAATTTCTGAAAGATAGTGTGTCTCAAAAGGCACTTGTTTTCTGATATCTAGCCCATCTTGGTGCCTCAGTAGAAACTTCAGATTACAATCTAGTTACAAGTGTATCCTCACTACCTGGTTACTAATAGTGTATGTATGTATATACATATATATACACACATGATTTACTATTATTACATATATAAATAGTATATATGCATATATATGTATACATGCATATATACTATTTATATATTATACTATTTACTATATAAATACTAAATAAACCCAAATTTGTTAAAAAGTAATATCAATTTAGAATCATGAATACAATCCAACAAAGAAAAAAATTCCTGATGTAATTTTAAACTGGCAAGCCTAGAAAATACTTCAAACTTTGAAACCATTTCATATATTTATTGAAAATATATTGATTGTAAAAAATTAGGTTGAATCACCTACACTTTGTTATACACACACACACACACACACACACACACACACCCCCACACATAAATGTCAGTTTTGGCTGGGTGTGGTAGCTCACGCCTATAATCTCAGTACTCTGGGAGGCCGAGGCAGGCAGATCATAAGGTCCAGAGATCAAGACCATCCTGACCAACATGGTGAAACTCCGTCTCTACTAAAAATACAAAAGTTAGCTGGGCACGGTGGCACGCTTGAATTCGGGAGGTGTAGCAATGAGCCAAGATCATACCACTGTACGCCAGCCTGTTGACAAAGCGAGACTCCATCTCATTTTAAAAAAAAAAGTCAGTTTTACATAGTTCCACCTAATAGGTGAATCGTGGAAGCTTTAACTTTTCTCAAAAATATTCCTGTAATGTAGAAAATAATGTTAATACATTTCAACTACATCTGGTTTCAGAATCCAGTAAAAATATTTTACATTAACTGACTTGAATGATCTGATTAAAAATTAATAAACTTTACTGGAAATTAGTCACTTATTCCAACCTATAAGAGCTGAGTACTTACTTTTTTTTATCCAGTTTGAGATGAAGCAGAGAGGGGCAGATTTAAAATTAGTCTCAAGAAATTAAAATCAAGAAACACTTGGTTTCTGTATTTCCAAAATTAAAATTCTATCCGAATTCAGATGATCGTACTGAATGTATAAGACAACAGTAATTAGAGGACATGACTAACGTGATTTAGCTTGAGAATGCATGAATCCTGAGCTCAGTTACTCTGCCACTGACTAGGGTCAGGTGCATATCAGTCGTGTGCTTCCAAATTCCATTTCAGGAGCATCCCAGTACCATCTCCACAGAGCTCCCTAAATTATAAAATTAGGGTTAACTAGAGTCACAAGTTTAACCAAAGATCTCAGTCTCACCCCAAGCACATGGCTCCAGATTCCTCAAAGACGTTGCGATGTCAGAACAAGTGATTCCCTCTATTTCATTCATGTATTCACTCATTCTTCAGATACTTATTGAGCGCTCACCTGCCATGGCGCAGACACTCTTCTAGGTGCTGTCAATATAGGGAGAAGGAAGACAAACAAGATCCTTGTTGTTGTGGAGGTAACATTCTAACACTTGGAGATGCAATCATTCAATCAATAAACAAACAAGAAAAATACTAGATCGTAACCAGTGCTATGTAGAGAATTAGAATGGGGAGTTACATTAGATGAAGGGATCTCGGGAGGCTGCTTTGGGGAGGTGATTTGACACAGAGTTTTGCTCTGTTGCCCAGGCTGGAATACAGTGGCGTGATCTCAGCTCAGTGCAACCTCTGCCTCCTGGGTTCAAGCAATTCTCATGCCTCAGCCACCCCAATAGCTGGGCTTATAGGTGTGCACCACTACACTCAGCTAATTTTTGTATTTTTAGTAGAGACAGAGTTTTGCCATGTTGGCCAGGCTGGTCTCGAACTCCTGGCCTCAGGTGATCCACCCAACCTCGGCCTCCCAAAGTGCTAGGATTACAGGCATGAGCCACCACACCTGGCCTCTTTTTTTTTTTTTTTTTTCCTAGCATCTTGTATTGTTACAATAGAGAAATATTTTTCAAGACAGGTTTTCTGCAATTGTGAAGATGGAAAAATCCAGTAGAGCCAGAAAGTTGGTGATGCAGGCTCGTATCAGAATGCAGTTCAGAATAGCTTTGCCAAAATAACTCCATGGAGAGTTCTGCATGTTGAAAGAAACACTAATAGTACTCAGAAAATTATATTCCATCGACTTTCCATTTCCTACAGAATTCTACTGGGGCTGCATGTCAGGTGGAAAATCAGGATGCACTAAGGCCATGTGGGATTATAGGAGACACACTGAAGTTTCCTTTAGTGCTCCATGCTGAGAAACTGGATATGGAACTTACCTGGTTTATTTGGGTTTCATGGTGTACATCTAACACCTGAATCTTAAAAAGTTGCTTCCTCAATTGTACTGATGGACATGTTCTTCCTTGCCGTATGGAAATTGAAACACGTTTGTCATTTTGACAGGAGTACAAAATTTCAAGCTTTGAGCAGAGGCTGATGAATGAAATCGAGTTTCGCTTGGAACGTACTCCTGTTGATGAATCAGATGATGAAATTCAACATGATGAGATCCCCACGGGCAAGTGTATTGCTCCCGTCTTTGACAAGAGACTCAAGCACTTCCGGGTCACAGAAGGCTCTCCAGTCACATTCACCTGCAAAATTGTAGGGATACCTGTTCCAAAGGTAGGGGAAGATGACAAGCCAGTTGGCCAACTAACAGCATGGAACTATAGACAGTGCCTTCAAGATGGTCTTTTTGAAATATACACATTGTTTTTTCTTCTTTTTTGTATTTGTTATTGATATAATTGTACATATTTTAGAGTATATGTGATATTTTGATACATGTATACATTGTGTAATAATCAAATCATGATAACTGGGATATCCATCACTCAAACATTTATGTTTTTGGGAATTGGGGGCATTACAGTTTTTCTTTTCTAACTATTTTGAAATATACAAGTTATTATTAGCTATAATTTTTTCACTCTACTATCAAATACTAGAACTTATTTCTTCTATCTAACTGTATGTTTGTACCCATTAACCAACCTCTCTTCACTCTCCTCTCCCATCTACCCTTCCCAGCCTATGGTAACCACCATTCTACTTACTGCCTTCATGAGATCATTTCCTTTAGCTCCCACATATAAGTCAGAACATGCAGTATGTGTCTTACTATGTCTAGCTTCCTTCACTTAACATAATGACCTCAAGTTACATCCATGTTGCTGCCAATGGTGGGATTTCATTCATTCTTTTTTATAGCTGAATAATATTCCATTGTGTATAGATACCGCATTTGCTTTATGTATTCATCCATTGATGGACACATAGGTTGATTCTGTAACTTGGCTATTGTGAATAGTGCTGGAATAAACACAGGAGTGCAGATATCTCTTCAACATACTGATTTCAGGTTTTTTTTTTTTTTTTGGATATATATCCAGCAGTGAGATTGGTGTATCATATGGTAGTTCTATTTTTAGTTTTGGTTTTTTGTTTTTTTGAAACAAAGCGTCACTCTGTTGCCCAGGCTGGAATGCAGTGGTATGATCTTGGCTCACTTCAACCTCTGCTTCCTGGGTTCAAGAAATTCTGCCTCAGCCTCCTGAGTAGCTGGGATTACACACTGGGCTAATTTTTGTATTTTCAGTAGAGACAGGGTTTCACCACGTTGGCCAGGTTTGTCTCGAACTCCTGACCTCAGGTAATTCGCCCACATCAGCCTCCCAAAGTGTTGGGATTACAGGTGTGAGCCGCCACAGCAGGCTCTTTTTAGTTTTTTGAAGACTCTCCATACCGTTTTCCATAACAGCTGCACTACTTTACATTTCCACTAACGGTGTGTGAGGGTTCCCCTTTCTCCACATTATGCCAGCATTTGTTATTTTTTGTCTTTTTGGGAATAGCCATTCTAACTCTAATGAGATGATATTTCTTGGGGTTTGATTTGCATTTTCCTGATGATTAGTAATGTTGAACATTTTTCCATATACTTATTGGCCATTTGTATGTGTTTGTTCTTTTGAGAAATGTCTATTCAGGTCTTTTGCCCATTTTTAACAGAGTCCTTGATTTTTGCTATTGAGTTGTTTGGGTTCCTTATATATTCTGGTTAGTAATCCCTTGTCAGGCAGATACTTTACAAATGTGTTCTCCCAATCTGTAGGTTGTCTCTTCACTTTGTTAATTGTTTCCTTTGCTGTGCAGAAGCTTTTTACTTGCTGTGATCCCATTTGTCTATGTTTGCCTTTGCTGCCTGTGCTTTTAAGGTCTTACTCAAAAAAAAATTTGCCCAGACCAGTGTCCTGTAGTGTTTCCCCGCTGTTTTCTTCAAGTAGTTTCATAGCTTCAGGCCTGGCATTTAAGTCTTTAATATATTTAGAGTGGCTATTTTATCTAGTGAAAGGTGAAGATCAAGTTTCATTCTTTTCCATATGGGTATTCAGTTTTCCTGGCACCATTTATTGAAGAGACTGTCCTTTCCCTCAATGTATGTTCCTTTTTTTTTTTTTTTTTTTTTTTTTTTGTGGGGGACGGAGTCTTGCTGTCACCCAGGCTGGAGTGCAGTGGCGCAATCTGGGCTCACTGCAACCTCCGCCTCCTGGGTTCAAGGGATTCTTCCGCCTCAGCCTCCCGAGTAGCTGGGACTACAGGCGTGTGCCACCACACCAGGCTAATTTTTGTATTTTTAGTAGAGACGGGGTTTCATCATGGCGAGAATGGTCTCGATCTCTTGACCTCGTGATCCGCCCGCCTCGACCTCCCAAAGTGCTGGGATTACAGGCGTGAGCCACCGCGCCCGGTCTCAATGTATGTTCTTGGTGCCTTTGTCAAAAATTAGTTGGCTGTAAATACATGGATTTATTTCTGGGTTCTCTATTCTGTTCCATTGGTCTATGTGTCTGTTTTTATGCCAGTACCATGGTGTTTTGGTTACTATAGCTTTATATTATAATTTTAAATCAGATATCATGATGCCTCCAGCCTTGTTCTTTTTGCTCGGGATTGCTTTGGCTATTTGTGGTATTTTGTGATTCCATATGAATTTTAGAATTGTTTTTCATATTTCTTTTCTTTTTTTTTTTTTTTTGAGACAGGGTCTCGCTGTATCACCCAGGCTGGAGTGCAGTGGTGAGATCTCTGCTTGCTGCAACCTCCATCTCCTGGGTACAAGCAATTCTCCTGCCTCAGACTCCTGAGTAGCTGGCATGACAGCTGTGTGCCACTATACCTGGTTAATTTTTGTCTCTTTAGTAAAGATGAGATTTCTCCATGTTGGCCAGGCTGGTCTCAAACTCCTGGCCTCAAGTGATCCACCTGCCTCAACCTCCCAAAGTGTTGGGAATACAGGTGCGAGCCACCACGCCTGGCCTGTTTTTTCTATTTCTTCAAAGGACGTCATTGGTATTTTGATAGGGATTGCATTGAATCTGTAGATCACATTGAGTAGCATAGACATTTTAACAATATTAATTCTTCCAATCCGTGAACAGGGGCCATCTTTCCATTTGTGTGTGCGTGCCCTCTTCTATTTCTTTCAGTGTTTTGTAGTTTTCCTTGTGGAGATCTTTAACTTCTTTGGTTAAATTTATTCGTAGGCATTTTGTTTATTTATTTTTGTTGGTATTGTAAATGGGATTGCTTTCTTGATTTGTTTTTCAGATTGATTCCTGTTAGTGTATAGAAACGCTACTGATTTTATTATGTTGATTTTGTATCTCAACTTTACTAAATTTGTTTACCCTGAGAGGTTTTTGATAGAGTCTAGGTTTTTCTAAAGTATAACATCATGTCATCTGCAAGCAAGAATAATTTTACTTCTTCCTTTGCAATTTGAATACCCTTTATTTCTTTCTCTTGCCTAATTAGTCTGGCCAGGACTTCTAGGGCCATACTGGATAAAAGTGGTGAAAGTGGGCATCTTTGTCTTGTTCCTGATCTCAGTGTAAAGGCTTTCAGTATTTCCCTGTTCAGTACAATATTAGCTCTGGGTTTGTCATATATGGCCTTTATTGTGTTATGTTACTTCTACACTCTATTTGTTGAGGGTTTTTATCATAAAGGGGTATTGAATTTTATTGAGTGCTTTTTCAGTGTCTATTGAAATGATCATATGGTTTTTGTCCTTGATTCTGTTGATGTGATGTGCCATGTTTATTGACTTGCCTATGTCGAATCACCCTTGCAGAGCTGAGATGAATCCCGCTGGATCATGATGAATAATCTTTCCAATGTGTTGTTGAATTCAGTTTGCCAGTATTTTGTTGAGGATTTTTTGTACCTATGTTTATCAGGAATATTCCCCTGTAGTCTTGTTGTTGTTGTTGTTGTTGGGTCTTTGACTGGCTTGGGTATCAGGTTAATGCTGGCCTTGTAGAATTAGTTTGGAAGTATTCCCTTCTCTAATTTTTCTGAAATCGTTTGACTAGAATTGATATTAGTTCTTCTTTAAATGTTTGGTAGAATTCAACAGTGAATCCATCAGGCCCTGGGCTTTTCTTGGATGGGAGAATTTTTTTATTGCTGCTTCAATCTCATCACTCATTATTGGTGTGGTCTGTTCAGGTTTTCTATTATTTCTTTATAGTTTAGTCTTGGTAGGTTGTATGTGTCCAGGAATTTGCCAATTTCTTCCAGGCTTTCCAATTGCTGGCTTATAGTTGTTGATAATAGTCTCTAGTGATCCTTTGTATTTCTGTGGTATCAATTTTATTGTTTCCTTTTTCATCCCTGATTTTATTTATTTGGGTCTTCTCTCTTCTTTCTTAGTCTAGCTAAAGGTTTGTCAATTCTGTTTGTCTTTTCAAAAAAACAACTTTCATCTCTTGCATTTTTGGTCTTTTGTGTTTTTTTTTTTCAGTCTTAATTTTATTGATTTCTGCTCTGTGTTTATTATTTCTTTCTTTCCACTAATTTTGGATTTGGTTTGTTCTTGCTTTGTTCCTTGAGATGCCTCTTTAGCTAATTTATTTGAAGTCTTTCTAAGGTTTTTTAATATAGGTATTTATTGCTATAAATTTCTTTCTTAGTAAGAAAGTCTTGTTAGACTCTAGTGAAGTATCTACAGAGGGAATGAAAACTCGTATCAGAAAATAGAAAAGCCCAGATAATTTCACTTAAAAAAAAAAAAACACACATCAGGAATGGGATCATTAAATAGGCTAAAAAGAAATCAGACTTATGGATAAGTTCAAATTTTAATAAAAGTTTAAAATAAATGTCTTAATCATGATACTATATTTTGGGCTGTTGATTCTCATAGCCATCAAACTCACCAAACTGATATTTTTCTGTCTACTTAATATCTATTTAGTATCCACAGGGTACCTGTTCTTATACAAAGTAAATTATATTTGTATCATTACTATTAGGTTGGTAAATGCTGGAAATGTCATATCGTTATCACTGGATGCTGAAAAATCACGAGTCACCAGATTTTTTGGCAGTCAGATGAGAGAAGGATTTACACCCAGCATGGTTTGTGGCAGAAGATCTCTCCGCTCTGCTTTCATAAACATCAGCATAGTGTTATCATGTATGGTTAGGTAACCAGGAAAAGTAGAAGAGGACAGCTGTGACTGGTACTTTATCTCCTCTGTCTTTTGAGAGATCTCCTTCACACATACAGAACTTAACATGAGATATGTAGATAGATGTGCATGTGTGAAAACATATAAATACACACATACACACACACAGATATTTACATTTTGGCTAGGTGAGAAATTTAGCAAGTTAATCCTAGCCTCATTCCATTTAGTGTAACAAACTCAAGCAAAGTGACTTATTCTAAGTGCTGAGATCTGCAACTGCAGGAGACTTGAGCTTGTAAATAAGGTAATGAGAAAAGATCCAGTCTCCTGGTTTTCTTATTTGGCTTCTGAAGACATGTCTGGTCCTTAGGGTGGCTTTTTTTAACTAAGTATGAAGTGAAGTACAAGAAAAATAGTCAAAAGCTTCATCTTACTCCGAAATTGTATTGGATTCTTGACTTAAATAATATAATATTTCATATTAAATACTATTATATAGGTACAAGTAGAGGGGCATACTATACAGTCATTTTTGATATGTTTTCTAACTTTTTTTTCAAGTGTTTCATAAAGGATGGATCACTTAAAAGACGGCAGTCAGCCCTTACCTCAACCCAGAACCTAGTTCATTCACCTCTAAAGATAAACAAAACAGTATACGTCTTGATAATTTTTCATTTCAGGTTTACTGGTTCAAAGATGGGAAGCAGATTTCCAAGAGAAATGAGCACTGCAAAATGAGACGAGAAGGAGATGGGACATGTTGTCTGCACATTGAATCCACCACCAGCGATGACGATGGCAACTACACCATCATGGCAGCCAACCCCCAGGTGGAGACGCAGGGTTCTGCGCTGTGCTGCACTCTGAGGAAGGAGCGGTTGATGTCATTGTGAATGAGACCTGAGAAGTGCGAGTTACTAAGGATTTCTGAGGAAAATGAATGAGAAGCATTGTGATTGTGTGTAACTAGGGTACAGCCACACAACTTAAAAGACCAGTTAGCCACTGATGGGTCACTCAATTCTTCAGCCTTTATCAAGGGGCATTAGTACTATATCTTCCCTATGTATACCTTGCAGACTTACTGAACTAAATCTTGTGTTTCTCAACTCAGTGATTCTCTTGAAGAGTCGATATATCATTATCTCAATCATTCTATCAGGAATGAAATGTCATTTTTGTTCTTTAGTGAATAGGCAAATTACTTTGCAAAGGTTTGTGAATGTCCCTCAAACTCATAATGTCCACTTTTTTGGATTGTTTTGTTTTTTAAAACTTGGAAAGCCGTAATCTTCTACTTTCCTTTTCTGAATGAAGCCAAATCTTAAAACTTCCCTAAAAGATGTAGCAGAATAAGCATTTTCAATTACTATTTGAATAGGAAGTACAGAACTATAACATCTTTTCCTATTGAAATGTTAGTTTTGAAGAATCTTTGTTGAAAATCATATGAAAATATTTGGCCATGCTTTCTGAATTATAACTGCGAACAATGTTAAGTACACAAAAATTCAAATTTCTTTTTACCTTTGTGCTGTTCATATCTCAGTTTAAAAATGAAAGTCATCACTGTACTCTTAAAAACCTCTCCCCTGGAATATTAACAGTGATTTCAGAAATCATATTTTATTGTTTTTATTCCTCTCCCCCAAAGAAAAACTCATAATAGCCAAAATTTCATGATGTTCTTGTCCAGAAAATTTTATGTAAATTGAAAAAAATGTGGGATTCTTATTTTAATCTTGTTCGTTTTCTGTTTGTTAGGGGAGAATCAGCTGTTCTGGCCACTTGATGGTACAAAGTTTGCCCATTCGTAGTCGACTAACCTCTGCGGGTCAGTCTCATAGGTAAAGGCAATAAGAATTCTCCTTCTCTCTTTATTTATTTATTTTTTTTTGGCAGGCTGAGCAGAAGAATCTCTTGAACCTGGGAGGCAGAGGTTGCAGTGAGTCAAGATCGCACCATTGCATCCCAACCTGGGCAACAAGAGCAAAACTCCAACTCAAAAAACAATTTTTTTAATTTAAAAATAGTCTTTTATAGAGCAAAAGTTTTTTTTTTTTTTTAGAGGAAGAAAGAGAGAAAGAAAAAGAAAATAAAAAAAAAAGAATAAAGGAAAGGAAGAAAGAGGAAGAGGAAGAGGGAGAGAGAACAGGGGTGTTGCTTTATTGCCCAGGCTAAAATGCAGTCTAAAAATGGGTATGCCTGTAATTATGTTTAATAATAGAGACATAAAAAAAAAGAGGGAAGAAAATAATTAACAAGCAGCCAACCAATATTTCATTTAAACCTGTAAATACGTGTGATGTAGTACTGATAAGAGTGTATATTTTGTGTATTTAAAGTGGAGAGTTCTATGAATGTTAATGAAGAATTAACATTAATGTTAAAGAAGAACTCTCCTTCTCTAGGCCCTTTCCAGGCACCTGCTCACCATCATGAGCACCAAAGTACGGGATCCATGCATTCTTAATTAAAGGTAGTCCTTCACTTGCAGCATCAGCATCACCTGGGAGTTGGTTGGAAATGCAGAATCTCAGGCCCCAGCCAGGATCTACTGACTCAATCTGCATTTTAACAGAATTCCCAGGTGATTCACAAGCCTAGTAAAGTTTAACAAGCACTAGTCTCTGGGTTGGGTTGTTTTTTTTTTTTTAAGTTTGTTTTTTTGTTTAAGAGACAGGTCTCACTTTGTTGCCCAGGCTGGAGTGCAATGGTGCAATCGTAGCTCTCTGAAACCTCAAACTCATGGGCTCAAGCCATCCTCCCATCTCAGCCTCTCAATTAGCTGAGACTACAGCCACATGTCACCATGTGGGCTCAGTTTTTCTGTGTGTGTGTGTAGAGACAGGTGTCTCGTTATGTTGCCTGGGTTTGTCTCATGCTCCTGGCCTCAAGCAATTCTCCAGCCTTGGCCTCCCAAAGTGCTGGGATTGCAGGCATGAGCCACCACTCCCAACCTGGCACTCTTAATGGTTCAAAGTTTGTAACCATCAGTAGCACCTGCATACATAATATGTAAATTTGACCCGTTGAAGTAAGTTACCATCTTTTGTTTGATAAAACAGAAACTTTTAATGATTGAATGTATATTGATGGAATGTTTTTGTTGTTGTCTCCAATATAACAACTGGTTTTCTTCCTCTCTGATTTTACTAAACACTAAGAAGAAAGAGCCTGGCTTTCCACTTAAATCTTATGATGCCACAAAGTCTTAGCAAAGCATTCCTTAGCTGCTGACACAGAGAAATTAAATGTGACTTACCAAAGGAACAAAAATAGTGACCTATGTCTCAGATATGGTATTTCACCACCATTGCAACTATAATTTCTTTTTCTTTTCTTTTTTTTTTTTTTGAGATGGAGTCTCATTCTGTCACCCAGACTGGAATGTAGTGGTGTGATCTCGCTTCACTGTAACCTCCATTTCCTGGGCTCAAGCGGTCCTCCCACCTCAGGCTCCCAAGTAACTGGGACCACAGGTGTGTGCCACCATGCCCGGCTAATTTTTGTAATTTTTGTAGAGACGAGGTTTCACCATGTTACCCAAGCTGGTCTGAAACTCCTGAGCTCAAGCAACCAACCTGCTTCAGCCTCCCAAAGTGCGAAGATTACAGGCTTGAGCCACCTCACCCTGCCCCCTCTCCCTCCACATCCTCCTCCTCCTCCTCCTCCGTTCTTTTTTAAGAACAGCTGTTACTGTTGGTCAGTCTTATCCAGTTTAAGTTCATGGTCATCTTTAATGGTCTGCCATAATTTATAGCCGGGTTAAATTTTATTACTCAAAGGCACAGGGATTGCAGCTGCCTTGCTCTGGGCAATAAACAGGACTTCTCTTTTGGCTCTCCTTTGAGGTTCAGATTGAATACTGATTTATTTGTTTATTTTGATGACTTTTGAACAACTGGTCGAACTCATAGCAAGGGGAGCTGAGCCTACTTAACCCAGAACGACAGAAAGAAGCTAAGCCTGTTTATTTGATTGCGGATCTCACAAGACAATCCCACAGTGTATGAGATACTTACCACTTTGTGTTTCACATCAGCTGCACACCATTATTTATTGTTTATGGTCCAGCCTCCCCTTTCCCCCATCAAAAAAAAAATATATATCTGCTCTCTAGGTCCTGTAGCCCATGCCTAAATGCCTATCATCATAAGTTTGTAAATTTATTTCTATGTTTAATGCCTGAACATGCTTCTTGTTGTAGGGGAAGGTCCCGAGTGCAAGAAAGAGACAAAGAGCCCCTACAGGAACGCTTTTTCCGACCACATTTCCTGCAGGCTCCTGGAGATATGGTAGCTCACGAGGGGCGCCTCTGTCGGCTGGACTGTAAGGTAGACTCCAGCACCAATCCTTGGTTCCAGATCTGTTCATATTTTGTATTCATTTACATTCATTTTTGTTTGTATCTGTTTTGTGGGGTTTTTTTTCCCCCTAGAAGAGTGGGATGGGGAGGGGGGGGAGATCACTTTTTTTTTTATCATAAGGCTTGTTTGGAGTATTTAATGTCAGACAAAATTATTTTATGCAATTTTTGAATCTTTATATATTAATAAAAAATACATTGGTATTATATTAATTGCATTTTTAGAAGACAACCAAAGAGGTGATACACAGTAGTTACCTCTTATCTGAGAAGCACCCGTTCCAAGCCTTGGAGTGAATGTCTGAAACTTTAAGTAGTACTGAGCCATATATATACTTTTTTTTTTTTTTGAGACAGAGTCTTGCTCTTGTTGCCCAGGCTGGAGTGCAATGGCACCATCTCGGCTCACTGCAACCTCCACCTCCCGGGTTCAAGTGATTCTCCTTCTTCAGCCTCCCGAGTAACTGGGATTACAGGCGCTCATCACCATGCCTAATTTTTGTATTTTTAGTAGAGACGGGGTTTCATCATGTTGGTCAGGCTGGTCTCAAACTCCTGACCTCATGATCCCCCCATCTCGGCCTCCCAAAGTGCCCACAGGTGTTAGCCACCGTGCCCAGCCCAATACCATTTTTTTAATTTGATAACCAAGATAGCTACTAAGTGACTAATGGGCAGGTAGTATAGACAGTGTGGACACGGTGGACGAATGGGTGATTCATATCCTGGGTAGGATGGAGTAAGACGGCATGAGATTTCATCATGCCACTTGGAACAAAGTACAGTTGAAAACTTAGAAACTGTTTATTTCTGAAATTTTCCATTTAATATTGTCAGACTGTGGTTGACCTCGGGTAACTGAAACTTTAGATAAAAGGAGGACTACTATAATTCAGACATTTGCATCTAAGCCTTTTAAGAATTCTAGAATGCTGTAGAAGACTTAGATGCAAATCTTTTCATATGGTGTTTGGAAAACCTTTATTACTATAAAGCCATATGGTGTGATTTTCACATCCTTGAAGTGAATTGTTGTGACATGTGGCCTTTGAAAATTTATAGACATGAAAATATGGCTCCAAGGTAGTGTATGAGGACAGAAGCTGGCTTCTCATACTAATCAACCTCCATTACCTTTAGCTATTCTACATTCTCATTTTTTGACTGGGCTTTAGTTGAACAGCATGGATATCTCTCAGTATGAAGAGAAGCTTACATCACCCTTTCTGCCCCACAGATGCAGAATGCTATGAAAGACTTAGATTCGTGAAAGCTTGAGGTTAAGCATTCATAACGGGTCCACTTCCATCAGTGGTTCTTCTTCTCTCTGTGGCTGACTAAATAATTTTTGGGTTGATTATTACACCCCCTCCCTAAACTCTGAAAGATTCCCATGCCTGGGTCCCATCCCCAGAGATTCTGATTCACGGTAAATGGGCACCAGGATTTTTTTTTTTTTTAGACCAAATCTCACTCCGTCGCCAGGCTGGAGTGCAGTAGCACAATCTCAGCTCACTGCAACCTCCGCCTCCTGGGTTCAAGAGAGTCTTCTGCCTCAGCCTCCTGAGTATCTGGGACTACAGGCACGCACCACCATGCCCAGCTAATTTTTTTTGTGTGTGTATTATTAGTAGAGATGGGGTTTCACCATGTTGGCCAGGATGGTCTCCATCTCCTGACCTCGTGATTTGCCCACCTCAGCCTCCCAAAGTGCTGGGATTACAGGCGTGGACCACCGCACCCAGCAGGGCACCAGGATTTTTAAACACCTCCCACATGATTGTAACATGCAGCAAGGTTTGAGAACTCTGGTTTAATATCTGGCCTTTTATTATCCTCAGCAAACTCACACAGGAACAGAAAACCAAACACCGCATGTTCTCACTCATAAGTGGGAGTGGAACACTGAGAACACATGGACACAGAGAGGGGAACATCACACACCACGGGCTGTTGAAGCGTGGGAGAGCAGAGGGAGCTTAGAGGACGGGGCAATAGGTGCAGCCAACCACCATGGCACACGTATACCTGTGTAACAAGCCTGCACGTTCTGCACATGCATCCTGTTTTTATTTTTATTTTTTTTAGAAAAAGAAAATATCTGGCCTTTCTCTTGGCTATTAGGTATGTAAGCAGTATATCATCTCTGAAATTGATGCTGCAGGCCCATTATATCTATCTATTTTGCTTTTTCATTCTTATTTATTCTAATCTAGAGTATAATCAAATAGGTTAACCATGACTTCAACTGCGGTCAAAGTACCATACAGTTAAATTCATGCAGCCGTTTATTCAGACCCCTCTTTTCTCTCAATGCCCCTACAGAGAGGTTTCTGGCCACCCCATTTTTCTCTCACTATTTGGTGCCAAGCAAGGATAAAAAATTCAGCCACCAAATAAATGTGCCTGTCATCAGTCATTGGCCTCAGCTGTCCTGTTGTTTATTTTAGGTGAGTGGTTTACCGCCTCCGGAGCTGACGTGGCTACTCAATGGCCAACCCGTGCTACCAGATGCCTCCCACAAGATGCTGGTCAGGGAGACCGGAGTCCATTCTCTGCTCATCAATCCACTCACGCAGCGCGACGCAGGGACCTACACGTGCATTGCTACCAACAAAACCGGGCAGAACTCTTTTAGTCTGGAACTCTCTGTAGTAGGTAAAGTTTGCTGCTGGGACCCCTAAACATAACTTCCTCCAAAGTCACTGCCCAAATACACAGAGCCTCTGCCAGAATGCCTTCATCCTTTGCCCTACTAACTCCAATCTCAGTTTCCCCTTTACTGTGGTAAGGGCAGTATTTCCTACATTACTTTCAAAAACATGTCAGTAATCCAAAAACATAATATGGTACCATTGCCTATTACCCATTAAATAAATGAGAGTCATTGTAATCATCAATCAGTCAAGCAATTAGCTGCCACTAAATTCCAGTTATTTCCCCTGCAGTCCATCATTCCTGGAACATACCAGGCTCTTCCCCCACCGCTCCCATCTGAGCTTTCATGCCTTTGCACCAATGATTTCTCTACCTGAATGTCCTTTTCTGCCTGGCAACCTCCTACTCATTCTGTAAGGCCTAACTGAAATGTCACCGCGAGGTACAGTGAATCCACCAGGCACAGCTACTCCTTCCCAGCCTCACAGCCATAACGTGTTTCCATAGCACTCAGAAAAGGAGAGATTCATAGGGCAGGTAGGGCCTTCTGTGTAACTGTTAATTCTTTGCCTCCCTGAAGAGATGCTGAGCTCGTTCTCCTCACATCTCCAGTGCTGTCTCTCTTCTGCGTATGTCAGTGCCTGGAATAGGGAAGGTGTCCAACAAATATTGAATCAGTATCTAAACAAATGAAACCTTGTCTTCTTAGAATAAAACACTATAATGCCTACAGATAAGGACAAGACATTGTCGCCTGGGAAGTGCCAGTCCTGCAGAGCAGTAGTCCAGCCAGAAATAAATTTCAGAATGCAGGAATTCTGGTGTTGGGCTTCCTCCTGCTCTCGGTGTAGCCCTGTAAAAAAATCAGGGTGGCAGTCGCGGTGGCTCACACCTGTAATCCCAGGGCTTTGGGAGACCGAGGCAGGCGGATCACGTGAGGTTAGGAGTTTGCAACCAGCCTGGCCAACATGGTGAAACCCCATCTACTGAAAATACAAAAATTAGGCCGGGCGTAGTGGCTCACATCTGTAATCCCAGCACTTTGGGAGGCTGAGGTGGGCAGATCACGAGATCAAGAGTTCAAGACCATCCTGGCCAACATGGTGAAATCCTGTCTCTATTAAAAATACAAAAATTAGCTGGGCATGGTGGTGCAAGCCTGTAGTCCCAGCTGCTTGGGAGACTGAGGCAGGAGAATCACTTGAACCTGGGAGACGGAAGTTGCAGTGAGCCAAGATCGTGTCACTGCACTCCAGCCTGGTGACAGAGTTAGACTCCATCTAAAAAAAAAAAAAAATTAGCCAAGGGTGGTAGCACACATCAGCCTGGGTGACAGAGCAAGACTCTGTGTCAAAAAAAAAAAAAAAAAAGAAGAAGAAGAAGGAAAAGAAGAGAAAATCGGGGTGGTTTCAGCAGGGTAATCCTCTCTGCAGGCTAGTGGCGGTTTCCCCTGTATATCTTTTTCCTTTTCTCACTTTAATTTCTTCTCACCAATAAAATAGGAAAATCTCATTCTGCAAGAATAGATTGATTCCAGGCTTTTACCTTTATTCCACGATTTTGCTAAAAAACATTGACTTTGGAACCTTGAGATATGAGGTACCTTTACCTAAATCTCTCCAGGCCAAATTTTTAAAATACTCCTTGGGAAACACAGTCTTGTGTGTGTTTTTTAAAAATAGTATTATTCCGTAGGTGTCAGATTTTTGTGGAAAAATTATTGCCTTCTACAAAATAAAACTCCTCCCCCCAAAATCTGTTTTAGTAAATAGAATATATGGTTTCTCAAAATCTACTGTCGAAATATAAAAGAAACTCCTTTAATTCCACCATTCCTAGCATTTGCACCCCTTGTGTATTACCCAGATCCTCAAGTATTGCCTCCCATGGCATGTGCAGAGATGGCTGCCCCATTTATTTTTGTCTTTTAAACCATTTCTGAAGCTTTTATCAAGGCAGTGATCCTCACTAAGAGGCATGAGGAGTGCTCTGACCAGGAGGTAAGGTGGGCGCACGCCCACTCTGCTAACTTCCAGAACTGTGGTGAGTGTGAGGCATGAACCTCAAAGTACTTACTATTTTAATAAGAATGACCCTTCTCGGCCGGGCACAGTGGCTCACGCCTGTAATCCCAGCACTTTGGGAGGCCAAGGCAGGTGGATCACCTGAGGTCAGGAGTTTGAAATCAGCCTGGCTAACAGGGTGAAACCCCATCTCTACTAAAATTACAAAAATTAGCCAGGTGTGGTGGTGCACGCCTGTAGTCCCAGCCACCTGGGAGACTCAGGTGGGAGAATCACTTGAACCTGGTCGGGGAGGGGTGTGGGCAGAGGTTACAGTGAGCTGAGATGGTGCCACTGCACTTCAGCCTGGGTAACAGAGCCAGGCCCCGTCTAAAAAAAAAAAAAAAACACAAAAAGAGAAAGAAAAAGAATGACTCTTCTCTTGCTCAGCCAAAGAGGTGAAGAAAGCACCTGTGATCCTGGAGAAACTACAGAACTGCGGTGTTCCCGAAGGCCACCCCGTGAGACTGGAGTGCCGCGTGATAGGCATGCCCCCACCTGTGTTCTACTGGAAGAAAGACAATGAAACCATCCCTTTCACCAGAGAGAGGATCAGGTACAGCAGCCACCACATCCAGAGGGACTCCCACTCTCAGTGGGGCTTGTCGCACCACCCAAATAAGTCTGCTCTGTTTGAGTCTGGCTTCTTTCATTTAGCATAATGCATTTGAGTTTCATCAATACTATTGTGTGTGCCGGGCGCGGTGGCTCAAGCCTGTAATCCCAGCACTTTGGGAGGCCGAGGCGGGTGGATCACGAGGTCAAGAGACCGAGACCATCCTGGTCAACACGGTGAAACCCCGTCTCTACTAAAAAATACAAAAAATTAGCTGGGCATGGTAGCGCGTGCCTGTAATCCCAGCTACTCAGGAGGCTGAGACAGGAGAATTGCCTGAACCCAGGAGGCGGAGGTTGCGGTGAGCCGAGATCGCGCCATTGCACTCCAGCCTGGGTAACAAGAGCGAAACTCCGTCCCAAAAAAAAAAAAAAAAATACTATTGTGTGTATTAAGAATGTATTCCGGGCCGGGCGTGGTGGCTCACGCCTGTAATCCAAGCCCTTTGGAGGCCCAGGCGGGTGGATCACCTGAGGTTGGGAGTTCAAGACCAGCCTGATCAACATGGTGAAACCCTGTCTTTAAAAAAAAAACAGAACGTATTCCTGGCCAGGTGTGGTGGCTCACACCTATAATCCCAACACTTTGGGACGCCAGGGTAGGTGGATCACCTGAGGTCAGGAGTTCGAGACCAGCCTGACCAACATGGTGAAACCCCATCTCTGCTAACAATATAAAAACTAGCCAGGCGTGTTGGTATGCACCTGTAATCTCAGCTATTCAGAGGCTGAGGCGAGAGAATTGCTTGAACCTGGGAAGCAGAGATTGCAGTGAACCAAGTTTGCATGGCTACACTCCAGCCTGGGTGACAGTGAGACTCCATCTCAAAAATAAAAAATGTATTCTGTTGCAGAGGGGTAGTTAATAAAATTTAATTTAAAATGCACAAGGAATTTATGGAATATTTTGCAAATTTTTTGTCCCATGTCTTCAATTATATTAGGACCCAGAAAAGCTCTTTGAAGTAAAAAAGCTATAACAAAATAAAACATCTAGGCAGTTATACATCTTTTCCATCCATCACTAAGTGATTGTTCTTAAAGTAAGCTTAAGGACCCAGTTTCTTAAACTGGGTATCTCGCTTAATTTTCCCTAACCAACTTAGGGAAATGGCCATTTCTTTGCTATTTTGGTTTGCCACAAGGCGACAAGTAAGTAGAGGTAGCTTCTGTACAAAACTTTCTCCTGAGAATTATTTCTCCACAGTAAACTGAATTTGCCCCAGAAGATGTTGTAGCTGTTGGGTTTTAAAGAATTTTGTCATCTAAAATATGTGCGTATGTTGGGGGCTGGTCTGTAGGGGGTATGTGTATTTTTCTCCAGTAAAACTTAACCAAGAACAGGCTGGGCGCAGTAGCTCACACCTGTAATCCCAGTGCTTTGGGAGGCCGAGGCGGACAGATCACGAGGTCAAGAGATCCAGACCATTCTTGCCAACATGGTGGAACCCTTTCTCTACTAAAAATACAAAATAAGCTGGGTAGTTCCAGCTACTCGGGAGGCTGAGGCAGAAGAATTGCTTTAACCCAGAAGGTGAAGGTTGCAGTGAGCCGAGATCGCGCCTCTGTACTCCAGCCTGGCGACATAGTGAAACTCTGTCTAAAAAAAAAAAAACTTAACCAAGAACAGAGAATAGTGTTGGGTTAACGCTCCAACCTAACAATGCAACATGTTAAACTAGATTAAACTAGATACACTAAGTAACTGAGGGTCTGCAATTTTAAATATGGTTTTATTGGGCAAAATGAAAATACATGTCTGGAAAGCTCATTCCCAGTGGAGGCTGACTGCTGGGGCTGGGTGATTGCTCAGCACTGGACTCTGAGGACCTGCTCGGTTTAGTCACCATTGCCTGGGGAAGGCAGTGGCAGGGGAGGGAGGAGGAGTGACTGAGATGCTGCAGAGAGGAAGGCCTAAGATTCAGAGACCACTGCCCACTCACTGCCCATTCATCTTCTCCCAGCCTTTAGTGAAAAGATGCCTGTCATTTTAATGTAAGCATAGGACATTCTGGCTGGGCACAGTGGCTCATGCCTGTAATCCCAACACTTTGGGAGGCCAAGGTAGGAGGATAGCTTGAGACCGGTAGTTCAAGACTAGCCTGGGCAACATAGTGAGACCCCATCTCTTAAAAAAAAAAATGTAATTGGCTAGGCATGGTGGCACACACCTGTAGTCCCAGCTACTCAGGAGGCCTGAGGAGGGAGGATTGCTTGAGCTCAGGATTTGAAGACTGCAGTGAGCCATGATCATGCCATTGTTCTCTAGAATGGGGACAAGCAAAACCCAGTCTCAAAAAAATAAAAGGGGGGGGATATTTTGATACTTTAAAGTCATAGTGATTGGCTTCTGAAAACCACACACCTAGGAACATCTGAATGGTCCTAAATAAACGCGAGCGTGCACGCACGCACACACACACACACACACACACACACACAGAGCTGCTCCTCAACTTACGACGCATTTACCTGGATGTAACCCCATCATAAATTGGGAGGCATACTGAATGCAAGTATCCTAAGTCAGGAACTGCCTGTATATCACCGTGATTATAACTGTTGTAAGAAGTTACGGCTTTTACGTCCCTGCCTTCTCTCACCTGTACACCTCTGCTCATGACATTCCTTCTTTGGGCACTCTCTCCACCTTCTCCTCTACCCCCACGCTCCAGCCCACCTCCCTAATGTTGGCGATCCCTCAAGACTCACCTCAAATATCATCTCTCTAAGGAAGAGCAGTGCCCCTGCTTCCTCTCCCACTCGGTGTACCGTCACCATTGTTAGTGTTGATGGTCTCACTCCTCTCCCACAACTTGACTGTGAGCATCTTGAGGGAAGGGACCACGTCTTCTTTGTTTTCACTGTCCCGACTCCTTACAACACCCAATGCCTTTCACCTAGTAGCATATTATGTCAGATGAAGGAATTATGAACAAATACATGAATTTCCACTGCTATTGCCTCACCTCACCTCACTTGACCTTGTGATCCACCCGTCTCGGCCTCCCAAAGTGCTGGGATTATAGGTGTGAGCCACCGCGTCTGGCCAGAGGATGATATTTTAAGAATGCAAACTGGCCAGGCACAGTGGCTTACGCCTGTAATCCCAGCACTTTGGGAGGCCAAGGTGGGTGAATCACCTGAGGTCAGGAGTTCGAGACCAGCCTGGCCAACATGGCAAAACCCCGTCTTTACTTAAAATACAAAAATTAGCTGGGCATGGTAGTATGTGCCTGTAATCCCAGCTATAGGGGAAGCCAAGGCAGAAGAATCACATGAACACAGGAGGCAGAGGTTACAATGAGCTGAGATCACATCACTAGACTCCAACCTGGGCCACAGAGGGAGACTCCATCTCAGAAAAAAAAGTTGATTATATCAGCTCCTGCTAAAAATATATCATTAGTTTCCCATCATCTGAGAGGAAGGTTTCCATCCCTTTACCATGGTGCATGTGACCTCCTCCCCTGCCTTCTTTCCAGTTCCCCCACTTGCCAGGAGCCCATGTGCACACCACCCCCAGCTGTAAGGAACATGCCATGCTCCCTCCCACACCATCTCGCCTTTGTGCAGGCTGTTCCACCACCTGGAACAGCCACATCTCACCCGCTCTGTGAGTTTCCACTCGACCTTTGAGACTGAGATGGAGCACATCTTCTGGGAACTTTTCTCACACTTGAATTGGCTGCATTACATTTCAGTGGTTGAGAAATGGATTTTTTTTTTTTTTTTTTTTTTTTTTTTG